TGCTTCTAATACTCTCAGTAAACTCCAGAATGATTTCCACAGTGGCGGCATTAGTTCATGCTTAAAGGGTGTGAGCCTGGGTTTAGACCATGAAACGAGGTAGGAGATTATAAGAAGGGAAAAGAAGTATCCAGGAAGGTGTGGGGTCTGGGAGCAAGAGATCACGGTAACATTCAAGTATAAAGAAGGTTGTGGGGGATGGCCAGAGAGAAGGAAAGGGGGAAGAGAGACAACAAAATAAGTAAATGTTGTTTGAAAACTGCTGTAATGAGACCTAATTCTTTGTACACTGATTTTGAAAAAATGGATTTAAAGAAGACTCGGGAGAGATGGGCCGGTCAGATCAATGAACAAAGTCATTGGGGGCAACATCTAGCTTGGGATCTATCTCAGCTTTCTGGCTTATTGGGTTATTGGGTTTGATTATTCCTGAAGTCATTTTAACTCGAGACTCCATTTGGCCCTCCTTTTACCCACCTGTGTATTCACTCGGCTGCAGCGTTGTCATGGCTGGAGTTCAGCTGATTCTTGCACACTGTTCTTCCTTGAACAGTGCCCCGCATGTGCCATGTGAACAAGCAGCCCCCCCAGCTTTTTGCATTCAGCCTTCACAAATCAGCCCCTTGGTGTACCAGGACTCTGCAGGAAACCAGGCTAAGCAGTGTTCTTAAACCTCTTACGCTCACTAATTACATTGCAGAGAACTATTACACACTTCAGCAGACCAGTCAAAGATGCGTAATGGGAAAGCTGAGTTGCAAAGAAAAGACACCTAATTTATGACAGGCTGTCGGCCACTCCTCACTAACCGTTCTTGGCACCAAGTGGCCTTCCTAATTATGGGATCAGACGTTCAGTTGGTAAGCCTACACTGTATACATATTACCCATCTCTTAGCTCTCAGAAAGTGGGAACTAAAATCCTACTTCCCCAGATCTAGAAATCCCCCAAAGGTGTCCATCCCAGGCTTGGGCAAAGCAAATGCATTCTGACATCTCTGCATTAATGTTACATTTGATTTGAGTTGACCCCCAAGCCCAGACGCAACATATAAACCACATAGTTTTACCAACTCTTCCTACTGACCTATTACTCACTTTCAGAGCTGTAGAACTTGGAATCCCAATATCCTAGAGGATAATTCTGGCTCTTGGGGTTTCTCGTGGGAAAACTTTTTTGTTTTGTTTTGTTTTTAAATTTAAATTAGAAACAAGATTGCTTCACATGTCAATCCCAGGTCCCTCTCCCTCCCCTTCTCCCACGCCCTCCCACCAACCCCCACACCCCCTCCCCCAATCCCTACTCCTTTCCCCAGGGAGAATAAAACCCTCCATGGTGGGTATCCATAGTCTGTCATTTCATCCAGGGCAGGGCCTAGGCCCTCCCCCCAAGAGTCCAGGCTGAGTGAGCATAAATACTGATAAGTACTGATCTATTACCCAAGGCCCCATAGATTGCCTAGACCTCCTCACTGACACCCACATTCAGGGGGTCTGCCCATGCTGGCCTTTCAGTCATCAGTCTGGGGTTCAAGAGCCCCCCCCTTGTTCAGGTCAGCTGTTTGTTTTGTTTTTCCAGACAGCCACGTAGCCCTAGCTGTCCTGGAACTCACTCAACAGACCAGGGTGGCCTAGAACTTAGAGGTCCACTTGCTCCTGCCTCCCAAGTGCTGGGATTAAAGATTTGTGCCACCTGACTCCCATGGAGAAACTTTAAGTGTAGTATTTAAGGCTCTTCATCTAAGAATAATTGATAGGTTAGCATTCCTCACATGGTCAGTTTAAGCAAGCTATTATATTATTTATTGGCATACCTTCTCAACAGGCTTATATGTCCTGCTTCCTTTAATACATATATCTCTATCTAGTTTTAAGTCAGTATAAATGTCTGTAGCTAGGGAAACAAGCTCTTCTGTCTTCATCCTAAGGTGGACAGCAGCCTAGCATCCAATCTTAGTCCTCCATGTTCCTGTAAAACAATCTCATTACCCACCACACCCACACCCATAGAACTGCCTAAGGCCTTATCTACAGTGTTCAAAAGAAATGACACCCCACACCCAAAGTTCATCTGAAATGGGCAGAAACTGTTGCTTTTGCTCACATCAAGATAACTGGTCCTTGGTTTGCCTCCTGCCCACTGTGCAATGATTCTGGACAAGTCGCTGAATCCTTGTCAACCTCCCTAAATTCCTTCCTTTGCAAAATGGGCAACACACACACACACACACACACACACACACACACACACACACACACACACACACACCATGCACCTCTTGCCTCCAGTTGCAATGAATTCAGACAAAGGCTAGGGAGCTGTGGGACAGTCAGGGGCAGCCTGGATATCCCCTGCAGCTTCAGCTTCTCCACTCACCTGTTTCCCGGTCTGCACAAGCAAACTTTTCCCAACATTCTGTGTACCAAAGTCATTCATTGGAAACACAGTAATTAGCATTACAGATAAAATGACACTGGTGCAGTGTTAATTACTACCGTGCAGATGTACTGTTAGATTCAGATATCATACATAACATTGTCAAGCCTTTAGTTTTAAATTAAAGTGCAACAAACCATACCCTGGCTACACATCTTTTTATGATTAATACAAATTAATGTTATTTCATTGTCTAGGGAAAGGGTATAGATAAGGAGATGTTGCATCTAATTGTAACAACATAATGGTGCGTGCTGTATATTCCCCCAGCTGCCTGTACACTGGGAGCTTGCATAAAGAAGGATGAGTTTTGTGAAGACAAAGACCATGCATGCTCCTCATAGTGTCCCAAGTTCCTAGCACAATCAGTGATAGGTAACCACTTCTGAACCTGGATGAATGAATTGCTGATGAATGAAGGAGTGAAAATGAATGAAGGAATTAATGAAAATACAACCATGTGTATAGAAGGGAACCTGGGGGAAATAGACAACCAAAAGGCAAAATGATTTATCTTTAGGTTCTCCTAGTTTTGTTTTGTTGTTTTAGCCTTCAAAATGTATTGTCTGTTGCCCATATGTATCACAGTAAAGTCCAAAGCAAGAGGCAAGTAGATTATCTGAAAGCAGCAAATGAGTGATGTTTCACAAGTACCATTATAAGCCACCAGGTTCTGGAAAGAGAAGGAAATGGGTGGAAGGGAGATGAAGAAGGAGGATCCTTTGACACCAGTGAGACATGCATGCACTAGCCAAAAGAGAAAAAGGAAGAGAATGAATATGTTGGACCAATGCAAACGTTATTGATTTGTTTGTTTGTTTTGGAGTTTTTCGAGACAGGGTTTCTTTGTAGTTTTGGAGCCTGTCCTGGCACTCACTGTGTAGACCAGGCTGGCCAAAGACCCCAATTCTTACGTTTGCTTTGTGTCAGTGTGTTTCTGAAACACTGGGGGGAAACTGTTACATACAAAGTCCTGAACTAGAGCTTGAAAGAGGCATATTCTCCTTTTGTCATAGGAATTAGCCGTACACCACATGCTTGAGATTGGAGAAATGGACTAGAACCTTTCCTGAAGATTACTTGGTTACTGGGAACAGTTAACTTAAAAAATGTTTTAAAAATTGCCAATAAGATGTAAAGTCTCTGATAAATGCAGTTCAGGTGCCCTGGAGGAACTTACAAAGGAATATGGAGTTTTGGTGATTCTCATCTATTTGTCCACTCCCTCACTCCCACTCTGGCTTTCTCTCACTCCCTCTTCCCTTTGGCTGCCTGCCCCCACATGGACCCTGCCTTTCAGTAACAACTGTTAATGAAGTAATGGCGAATGCCACTGACTGACATAGTGAGCAATATAAGAACCAAACCAATCTCTCACAATACCAGGATCAGAAAGGTAGAAGGGCAGGACCCTGGGCAAATATTCAAAGACCAGATCTAATGACTTCATCGGAAATTTCATTAAACCAGGCATATTGGTGCATAGTTATAGTCCCAGAACTTAAGGTCTAAGGATTGGGAGTTTGAGACCAGCTTGTGCTACATAAAAAGACACTCTCTGGTTGAGGAGACAGATAGACAGCCAGATATTAGGTGATAGATGATAGATAGGTTGATGATTGATTGACTGGCAGATACACAGATAGATGGAAGTTACAGGAAGTCTCTAAGGAATTGCTGAGAGAAAAATGTGTACCTAAAAGGTCAGAGTAAATAGGATGAAAATCCTGAGAATTCAGCATCCAAAAACCCAGAAGCAACCCATCAAGTTTCCTTCAAAGTCTCCCCAAAGCTTCCCAAGCTAAGCCAGAGAAGGAAGGGAGACTCCCAGATGGGAATGACACAAGGTCATTTGTAGAGCCCAGAAAATTGATCCAAAGAAAAAGGCAAGTAGAGGGAGGAACTGAAGCAAGATGGAACTGGGAATGAGAAATGAGGTGTGGATGTGAGAAATGGGACCCCATGTGACTTTCTTCAGACATCCCTGAAGCTACGATCTCTGAGTGAGGACCTGATCTCTTTCTGTGCGATGTCTGCTACCGGGATGGGAGAGGGATCTAACCAAGACAGCTTGCCTGGGTGCTTGAGACTTCAAAGTGTATCAGTCTCCCACCGAGGCTTGCTCCTGGTCTCCCATAGCGGCTTTCTTATCTCTCATTTGGATCCCTTAAACTCTCTGCTCATTTCTTTCTCTGGTTTCTTACAAATTAAATTTAAACTTCTGTACCATCTCTACCTTCCAGACAACTATGATGAGAGGAACAAACTAGTTTTTGTAAGGTTCAATGTACAAAATAGCCATCACAGTTGGTGAAAAACCTGTTAAGTTCCTCCCTTCAAGTTCCTGACTTATGCCTCCCCGGAAGTACTTTAGAAGCTGGGTATGGAAAGAAAACCCTCTGAAGAGGCTATCATGCCCTTCCACACAAGTAGGTTTTTCCTGATGTGCTACCGTCAGAAGATATATATATATATATATGGCATGGCACTACCTTGCACCTCTCTGGGCTTGGGGGGAAATGGAAGGAAAAACCCTGTCTGACCTGTTACCCATTGCCTTGTAGGTCAGTGGGACCATGTACAACACTGGAAGGCATGTGTCCCTCCGCCTGGACAAGGAGCACTTGGTCAACATTTCAGGAGGGCCCATGACATACAGCCACCGCCTGGAGGAGATCCGGCTACACTTTGGGAGTGAGGACAGCCAAGGGTCGGAACACCTCCTCAATGGACAGGCCTTCTCTGGGGAGGTATGTGATTCCCCCAAAGCACTAAAGTTTAGTGCCAACATGTAAGATTCGGTGCGGTGGTTCTCAACCTTCCTAGTGCTGCGTCCCTTTAATACAGCTCCTCATGTTGTGGTGACCCCCAACCACAACATTATTTTTGTCGCTGCTTCATAAGTGTAATTTTACTACTGTTATGGATCATAATGTAGATATCTGATGTGAGGCCCCTATGTGGGGTCGTGACGCACAGGTTGGAAACAGCTAGAGAATTGTTTAACTTCAAGCCCTCACCTTTTCTGTGCCTCTCGACTTTCACCCCGGGGCCATGGGCCTCTTGTGCATCCTGTATAACAGCACAACTTCCCTTCTGGTGAAGTGGGTCTTACCTGCCTACACACGCAATGCAATGCACTGTGAAATCAATGTCAAGGATCTGAAGTTTGCCTGAAATTTTGCAGCATGGAAATTCCATTGTGTCACACCGTTGATGGTGAGTGTCGCCATGTGCCACCATCAGTCCAGACAAAAATAAATCCAAATAATGCAATGAACCACAGTTTCAGATGAGATAAGAGATCAGACTTAGCCAGATTTCATCTGTGATGTGACACTTGACCTATTTTACTCCTTACACTTAGGAACAACTATGACTTAAGGATCAGGGGTCCTCATATAATAAGTAACCAGTAAGTAGGTTCCTAGTAAGACACACAATAACTAATGTCAAAAAAAACTTTTAAATTACAAGAGTATACATTTTATATGGTCTTTTTATTTTGTTACTTAAGGTCATGATTAAAACCTGGCATTGTTTTTCTTTAATGTGTGTTAAAGCTATATACCATTAAATAGACCATAAGTTGAAAAAAATTCATAAGCCAGGTTATGATGTGCATTCAAAATACATAGACTGAGGTCATCTTGGGGACCCTACTAGTTACTTGGGACACATGAATTTAAAAATGAAAAAGAAGAAAAGAGTTCTTTCCCCAAAGAAGTTCAAAGGGGACTATATTCAAATCATTGAAGCATAATGTCATGCTGAAATGGAGACATACAAAGGCCCTGGCAGCCTCAAAGAAAGACACGACACATTTTACTTGAAGGGGTCCGAGAAGCTTCACAGGGGAGGTGCCCTTTGAACTGGGCTTGGAGAGAAGGAATGGAGAATAATTTTAAAATATCAGCTTTGGAGTCAAAGGGCCTTAATTTGTAGCCCCTGCTTTGATACACACCATGTTATCTTGGGATGTCACGTGATCCTTCTAAGGTGCAATTTAGACACCTCTCAAAGATATTTTAAAAATTTTAGTGGGATCCCAGATGTAAGGAGTGCTCAATTGATAGACTTTAAAGAAAAGATAAAGCATGAAATGAGGGATAGGATGAGAAAGGGCCTCCAGGCATGTCAGGGCACTGTGTGTTTGAGACACTGCATGTAGATCTCACGCAGTACTTTGTCTGTCATCTATTAGTAATGGCTGCATAGACAATGGACTTCAGCAGCAGTGTGGGATTCTCTCCAAATCTGCAGGGGGAGCAGGGGGGGGCATATTCTAGGATTGATGAAGGATGTCTGCTAAAAGTAACCAAGTAACAGAAAACTTCTCTCCAGAACTACAGGTACTGAACTAGAGGATGGCAGGAAATATAACCAACGCAGGGCAAAACATCACAGTTCAGAGGCACAGGGGTAGGTCAGTCTCAAGTAGGAAATGTTTAAAGAGAGATTAAACTCTTCTTTGCGATAATGCGTGTTATTTTAAACTTTGCTGTTACTTTATCTGTTGGCTTACTTGCTCATTGGTCATTGTTTTTATTTTTCTCCCTCTGTACTGTCATATTTTAGTGTTTACCAGAACAGTGCTTCATAGTAGAAGTGCTGTTTAAGTGGGTGGTTTAAAAATATAGATGGTTACTAGGTTAAAATCTTCACACCATTCCTTCTGTTACTTCAATGTTAAAGTACAGTGATACAAACAACTTATAATTTTGAGTGTGTCTTAGTGGATGCATAATAATTTAACCTCTTAGCATATTAATTTTCCTAGATCTATTACAAACCACAGGAACTAGATGCTTCAGAGAATCTACATTTAAAAGTTCCCAGATAGACAGACATGGTGATGGATGTCTGTGATGCCAAGGGAGGCAGAAACAGAATGACCTCAAGTTTGAAGTTAGCCTGAGCTAACCTGGTTATGGCCCAGTGTTAATGAGGACATCTAAACCGTGCAGCACATAAGATATAACAAGGGTGGAAGGCACTGTCCAAACTGATGCTGCACTCCTTCCCCAGACCAGATGAACTTGCATCTCTCTGGCAGTGTGCTCTGAATCTGTATATTTGTAAAAGTTCCCAGGACATACTGGTTAGCAACCATGGTGCCAGTTACAGGAAATGTTGTGCCCAAGAAGTTCCACTTTTCCAAACATAGAAAACATAACAACAACTCCTTCCTGTGAAGAAGGGGAAAAGATGAATTTAATAGTAACTGCAGCTTGGAAATAGCAAGCTGGCATACTATGTACTGAGATTTGGGATTACAGTTTCTCAAGCAATGTGAACACACTGGGTCTCTCAGCCTCTCTCTGTCTGTCTCTCTGTCTGTCTGTCTCTCCTTATATCTCTCTGTCTCTCTCTGTGTCTCTGTATCTCTCTGTGTCTCTGTCTCTGTCTCTGTCTCTTTCTCTCTCTCTCTCTCTCTCTCTCTCTCTCTCTCTCTCTCTCTCTCTCTCTCTCCTTTCTCTCCCCTGCAGCGCAGCCTCAGCATAAGTACAGTTATATCTCACCCTGGACAGATTACACTATGTCATCACATTTCCCCCAAGTCCCTCAGTTTGCATGCTCTATAAGCTGGTATGGTTTCAATGCTAGAAACAAGCATTTTAGAGGCTCTAAAATAGTATCATATAAGGATCACTATGCAGACAGTTGACTTTTGAGTTATTTAACCTGCCCTAGTGAACAAGAAGAGTTGAGCACTTATGCCACATGAACGGCCAATAGTGGGAGCTGCAAGCAGAAGACATTCAGCTTAATACATGTTCTAACAGTGGGAGCTATCTATCAATGAAATGAGTTTGCTTCTGAAAATAGTGAATTCCCATTGTTTGATTTATTAAGCCCTAAACACACATTAACCAATGGGGGAACTATTAGCTTTAATGTACCTTCTAATTACTAAACTCTGCACAGTCCATAACTTGCTTCCAGAAACTTCTTCCAGTTAAATTCTAGTTAGCCTCAGGAAAGGCAAGTGTTTGTTACCCTGTAGATTAACTTTTTCTATTTCTGTTGTACTGCCTTCGGTCTCTATTTCTGGCTGTCCTTTGAGAGAACCCAAGTAGACACTTCTTGCAACAGAGTATGTGTTTATTTTGTTGACAGTGAGTAATTGCTTTACCATCTGCCACATCTATCATTGCTGAGCATGATGAGTCAATTAATACAAGGCGTTTTCCTCAGCATACTGCAGTGGTCGCTATCTGAAGAGCTGTATATTAACTGTAGCCTTGTCTAGTGATGTTATTATAATTGATGGTAATCATTTGCTTTGTTTTATAAAACTGTGTGGCTGTAAGATGCCATTAGCAACTGTGTTTTTTGTAAAAAATTATTAATGTCATACATGAAGAATTCCTGGATGCCTTATTGGGAGTTGTGATGAATGAGCATATTCAGGGATTCAAATGTCTTACTTTTCTTAAAGGTGAAGATTAACTGTTTTTAATAATCAAGCTCCTTATCTTGCTAATCATTTTAAGTGCTTAGATTAATATCTAGTATAAAGTAGGTTATTTGTAAGATGAAATAAAAGATAATATTGGGAAAGAATCCTGTTTGTGGGTTAAGTTCCAATAAGGAAACTAGACAAGAAAAAATCTTACTTGGGAGAAATTGGACAATCTTATCTTCAAAACCTCCTTTGAGTTCTTCATTCCTGAGGGATAAAGTAGCTCCCTAAAAGCTGTACTAGCCACTTCACAGGGCATCTATGACCCAATCTCTGATTCATTTTTTTTCCTCTTTCTATGGCTATTGTACTCTTGCTGTATGCTGGGCTCTAAGCACACAGCATCCAATTTCTTTTCAGAAAAGTCACAAGTCTAATGAGGAATACACACACACACACACACATGCATACATATGTGTGTGCATATTGTACATGGTTGTACACACTGACAACATGGACATATTTGGGGTTTATTCCAAGACAAAATGATGAAATAGCTATCTTGGATCATAATAAGAAAGAATGATGAGAAGCCTTTCAAATCACCATGCTTGCTGTTCCCTCTGAAGGTGAAACAGCAGCATTGACCTTCCTGGATCTTAGCCTCTAGAGTCTCCAGTTCTGCTCAAAAGACAGGGAGGGGAAGTCCATAGGTGTTGCTATGGTGATGTACATCATATTTTTAATTGAAAAGAGAGACTAAAAGTCGCATGCGAAATATAGGATGGTTTCTTTTTTTGGCATCTCTGAATCAGAAAAGAGAATATTTCAGAATCAGTAACAGAAGCAGACAATGCAGCCTCGTTCTCTTCAAGGAAGCAATTATCTGCATCCTTGAAAGACCACTTCACTTAAACAACACGAATCGGTAGGAATAAGAAACTAACACCAAGTTGTCCTGACCCGTGCTAGAGTATGGTAAGTGCTGGGGCACAACTGAGAACCAGGGCCCCAGTAGGCACAGACCACTGTAGGATTGGGGGAAGAAAAAGCAATCTGTTTAGCACATGGCTGCTTCACTGGAACCTCATGATAGAGATTCTTTATTGGCCCAACTAGAGATTAAGGTGGAAAGAGAACTGGGGTACTTAAATATAACAATAATATGGATAACAAACATGGAAGTGTTACTATGTGTCATGTGCCACAAGAAAGCTCTTCTCTCTGCTATGAATATCAGATTTATCTCCTCAACCATGATCTACCTCAGTCTCCCTCTTGTAGCTTCTCAGGATCCCTTCCCTCCTCCCATCCTGTAAGGCTCTGCCCCTTCTTCACTTCCAG